AACATATACATCTATGTATGTATTACACACAATAAATTAAATGTATATACATACCCAGGCGAGTGCGCTAGTACAACACAATAAGCGAAGAGCGCATCGCCTGCGGATGCACGGACATAATGACCGACGCAGGAGCAGAGGCTGCATCAGGACCTGTCCCTGATGGCTTTGGCGATCTCCAACAATGCAGTGCACATCAACCTGTTAGCCTCGTCGGACGCCTTGTAGTGCCGTGCTTGTCCATGACTTCAGCAATGGCCTCGAATGTTTGTTGGTGCATGTCCTTGCTCTTGCAGTTCCCTCCCGTGCTGCCTGCACTGAAGCCAGATTCCCGCGCCGACCCTCCGTCGTCGTCGTTCCCATCACCCCCATCACCCCTGGCGGCGGATTCTCCAGCAACGGATGGGGAACGTGGCATCTGTAGTCCTCCACGGGCGCTTGTGTCGGCGACGTTGTTCGGGTAGATGGTCTTGTTGCCCTTCGACATGGCATCTATCTCATCGTACACGCGCTCCTCCATTCTGCAGTTGACGCCTTCTTCCGTTCTCAATGAAGGTGTGAGGTTGAAGAAGTTCTTCCCCCCAGAGGCGGTCTCATAGCGTTGCACTTTCTTGTACTGTTGGAAGAGGTTGTCCCACTTCTTGCCAATGTTGTTAGTCGTCCTGTCCACCCCCACCTCCAGCAAACGCTTTTGAAGGTCCTGCAACTTCCACTCCCTATTGTGCATTCGTCCGTAGTTGTGTGCCATGCCCTCGAAATGAGCTTGCTGATCCCTCTTCGCCTGGACGAGCTTCAACATCTCCTTGACACTCCACGATGGATGTTTCCCAGCCTTCTCACTTGGCGGACCCTTCGAGCGGCGACCACCACGGGAAACAGCCTTCTCTTGACGCACGCCTCCACCCCTTCCTTTTCCACGCACAAGCAGGGGTCGAATCTCCATGTCGTCCGCGTCTTCCACTTCGTCTTCACAAATCACATCTGTAGATTCGTAATCGCTTGCCCGTTGGGAGTCTTCTGCATTGAGTTCTCCACTCGCCACACGCATCCTGGACACCCTGTTCATTATGTTTTCCGCAGCCATTTGACGCATCTGTCGTTGGCATGACTCCCAGGCCTGCCTGCCAACTTCGTCTGATCCGGCAACCCTTGTGTTCACCGCTGGTGCGCCCATCCTCTGGCGCGGTGCACTCAAAGGCGATGCCGAAGGGGGGGCCAACGACGTGCGAAACATGTCATCGGATGATCCCGCACCTCGAGAAAATGGAGGTCACGGCCGACACTCATTAGGGCCCGCACCTTGCGGAGAGGTGCACACTCGATCTGCCGATGGTCACACTGGGCACTAGGTTGAACGTGCGAGTGTGTGTAGCTGCTAGACCACTCCCGCTTGACAAACCAAAATTTAAGTCCACAATCTCCGTATCGCCTCCACCGACATCGTCCTCTAGCAGAGCAGAGAACGAATGAGGACTTGTCACAACCCCCCGTTGTCCACAATGGCCCCCCATCCAGTCCTGTGTCGATCCGCTCCCCAGAGACAGAGTGCGGGACAGATCATCCACCCATTGCTCTTCTGGATCCGGTGGTAACGGCTGCTCGTTAGGCGGGAGATTTCTGTACAATATCGGGTCATACGTGCCTGCAAGACGCGCTGTCGAGCACATCCGTCCGGCACCACACCAGGGCAGCGCAGGGACCCTCCCAGCCGCGTCACCCAGGAGTTGGTTTTAACCCTTCGTCGCAAATATATACATGGAGCTTCCACAAAGCCGCTCCGGCCGAGTGCGCCAGCCATACCTCTCGCGAGCCCCTACGACASGATAGGGCCTAMGCGAGGCACGACTTACCTACACCTTACGGGAGTTGTCACCTCTTTTCGGTGGGCGTATCCCCGCCGAGCTACCAGTCCACAGTACGAAAGCTAATCAGTTGCAATCGGAGAGGTGGACCAGCCGAGGGCGTTTAGCATAGGGGGTACGCGCGGTAATACGCCTCTATCGAACCCGCACGCGAATCGGCATCTTGGGGGGCTGAGGTCCCAAGCGTGGCCCGTTGTCGGTCGACTAGGACGCATCCCTCTCGCCACGCGCACTCCACTTTACAAACACGCATACACACAGAACAACACATACACAAAACGACACAACACAAACAACGCGACAACGCTATTACGTCAGTAGCCAACCCATAACTTTCCAATGCGGAAATCAAATAGGCGTCACGCGCGTGACTTAGTATAAAACCGCGCGGACGCAGGGCTATCTCATATCGACTCGCAATGCAAGCGTACGCAAGCAGTCACGATGATGGCGTACTATGTAGTGCCCATAATCAGGCGGTCCCTCGTGGATCCGAGTACCGCTTGTGACACTCAAGTGTCAGACTCCAAGTGTCGTGAGGGTTTAACCCTTCACGACATTGCACGACTGAAGGAATAGCCATGCAGCCGCCGCAAGACCCCCGGCCTTTGGTCTCAGCGTCTCGGTAGGCAAGGCAAATAGGCTCTGCGCGAGGGAAAACCCCTCCCCTGCAGAGCCTAGGGCTTGGTATGTCCTGGACAAGTACCTTGAATCCCGGCCCAGGACCAACGTCCGACTAAGAAAATTCTCAAGAAGCAAAGCAAAGATAAATTGAGAGGTCATCCCTGGTCTCTCAGTCTTACCTTCTGAGTATCCCCTTTTGTACGGAGCCCCTTAACCCATACAGACATTCACCCTACGTACACCCATGTATATATATATATATATATATATATATATATATATATAGGGAAGTATGTGACGATCACTTCTCACAGTCTGATTGGGGTCCCTCACAGCCATACGTATATATGTGATCGCAGGCAACCAAATCCAGAATCTGATTCATAACACATACCTGCAAATCACATCAACGAGTCAATCGACAGCCTACGCACTACACGGAGTGAACCCCAACCATCTTCAACACTCATTCCCCTTGCTTTAGCCATGCAAGCCCCAACCTCCTGTCCAACCAACCTTAATTAAATACTCGGTACCTTTGTCAAATGACCATTCAATAAAAGTCCGGGTGAAACCATAACGAAACAATGAATAGGTTGAGTGTAGAGGGTGAGTTGGAATTGAGTCGTAAAGTGACGAATCGGCAACCGACCTGTTATCAGTTACAACATATGATGATCCTCAAAAGATCAAGCTGAATCTAGTCTTGAACTTGAATCAGACGATCAAGAGGACATGTAACACATGACATGTCAATGTCCCAAACTAAACCTATAAGTTCATGGAGAACAATCTCCATATCGTGATCTTACCCAAGTCATCCTAGTTAACTATGCCTAAGCCTATCTCTAAATAATATGGCAAAATCTTCCTTAGTCAGAGTGGACTATCAAAATTGTCATCTGTCAAAACATAATCGATTTCCTTTAAACTAGAAAAATTTCGGCAGCGCTTCCCGTAGGAAAAGTGTTTTTCCAAAATTTATATAAGTCCAGATATGAAAGGCAGAAATAATTTCTAACTCCAAAAAGTCAAAATTACGTCTAACTTCCTGAAATAACAGAAATTCGGGCAGCATTCCCTTTAAAAAGGGAGGCTTTCCAGATTTATACTAAGTCAGATACAAAAAACAAAAATAATTCCTAGCTCTGGAAAGTCAAACTCTGTCTAACTTCCTGAATTAACAGAAATTTGGGCAGCACTCCCTTTAGAAAGGGAGGCTTTTCAGATTTATACTAAGTCCGATATGAACTCGAAAGATAACTCGAGTTCAACTTTAGACATAATTTAATTAACTCCTTAATTTTGTAGAAATTTCGGTAACACTCCCTCTAGAAAAGTGCTATGCCAAAATTTATACAAGGCTAAGTCCAGAATTTTGAAAGTAACTTTGACTTCCTAAAGTCCAATTTTGTCTAACTCTCTGAATTAACAAAAATTTGGGCAGCACTCCCTCTAGAATGGGAGACTTCCTTGATTTTAAGTAAGTCAGATACGAGAAAAGACAAAGTTAAACTTTTGACAAGTCAAAATTCAACTAACTCCTTGGATTTCTAGAAATTTCGGAAGCGCTTCCCGTAGGGAAAGTAGCTTGTCAAGATTTATACAAAGCGAAGTATAACAAAAGATCTCAAAAAATGCAAGAATTGACCTAAGTAAAAAAAATTATCACAGAAAATGCAGGAATTGACACTAACTACTATGACTCTAGCACGTGGCGAACAATTAAAGCAACTACCTATCAACCTGAAACTCAGACTAAGTAGTGGCCTCACTCAGTCACATGCAAGCCATACCACAAGGGTAAGTACTCTCGCCAATCCCAAGTTAGCCTGGACAAACAATAGTTCATGATCTCTCAATGACTTAACCTATTACACCCAGCTTACATAAGACATAGGTCAGGCCGCCTGAACTTACAAAACAACTCAACTTAGCCTGGCCTAGAGTCAGAATACCTAAACTTATAGAGCGTTCTGACTTGGCCAAATATACATAAACAGAGGGCACAACTACTTTTCTCTTCTTTGAGCACATGACTAGACCACTCTGGTCGCCCTCGATTGTTTAAAATATCCAAATTGTATATACTTATCTCCACATTTGTCTTCTAAGGCTGCATATGACTGAACAAACTTAAGTCAAACCTGCCCCAGTTTATCATCAATTCTATTCTTAGTTGTACTCTATTCCAGTTGTGATACGGCTATAGTCAGACCACCTAAGCCTATAGAACAGTCTGATTAGCTCATTTTTAGATAAAATAGTAGTAAGGCATAGCCAAATCATAACCATTGGGTTTTAGCATGTGCGAGGCTTTGAGCCAGGCCTCCTAAACTTACAGAAGGGTCCAACTCTCTGTCAGATTCGTTTCTATCTGAGCCAATATGTGCGTGGCCTCGAGTCAAACCCCCTGAACTTACAGAAAGGTCTGCCTCTTTGCCAATATTATTTCTTCAGAATAAAGAGCAGGAAGAGACTGAGCCACCTGAACTTACAGAACAACTCGGTCTCCTCGTTCAGAAACCAAAGAAACAAGTAAAATCCCAATGAAAACAAAGCAACCCAAGACACCAAAACTTATTGAGCGCCTTGAGTTCCTGAAAATCAAGCACAATCAAACCCCTCACAAGTCAGAGCGGTCAGGCCACCTGAACTTACAGAACAGCCTGACCCTCCATGCAAACCACATCACTGGGTCTCCCCAAACTTATGGAGACATCCCAACTTACAAAGTAATCAGACCCCCTAAACTTATAGAAGGGTCTGACTTCTCCATGCAAAACCAAAATAAAACAAAGCGCTGGGGTTCCCCAAACTTATGGGGACTCCCCAGCCTTAATGACCTGGTCAAACATCATGCAAATCATCCCACCATCCTGCCTTTCCCCAGATGCAGTTCCTTATAACAATTTGCTTTCATGCAGTCAACAAAGCTGAAACTGAAACTTCAACAGACATTCCTTTACTTAGTCTTGTTCAGTGTCCTGAAAGTCAAACCAAAAATAAAGTAAGGTTGCACGTCATATACTTAGTTAGCGATGGAATGAGAGATACAGATAGGGGTTATAATCAGGGTTTATAGAGGGAAAACACAAGGGTTACCTATCAATTCCCTGCCTTTAGAGCCTCGCCTAGGCTCCGGTAGAGCTCCCGCAATCGGTGGGTGGACTCCCCACAGAATCTTGATGAGGTCCTACGAGTTGCAATCCCGCCTGCCGCCTTCCTCTCAGATCAGGACCAGACTTAAAGTAAGGTGGATAAAAGAAGGAAGTTTTAGACTCTCAGATACAAGAGGGGTGCTCTCAGACTCACTGGAGAGGGCCTTGTAACCTTCAGCGCCTGAGGGCCCCGCAATGATGGTCAAGTAGCAGCTTGGCAAATAAGTCAACTGCCAGAAGTCAAAACCTCTGACTACCCTCCGGATCGCAGCACTATCCTCCTCTAAATGAATCAGCCGTAGTAGTCCGCAACCGTAACCGCCTCTATCCTTACCTTGACTGAGCCTACAGTCAACCTCCCCTAGGCCCAGCTGCCATTGTATAGCAGACTGCAACAGTCAGTGGCTGCCGCCGCAGTACTCAACGGAACGCAGCAGTCACCAGTTGCGCCGAGCTAACCGCAGTTGTACGCCTGTTTATCGTGGTCAACGGTATTTGAGCATTGTCACATAGGTGCAGCTGTAGCTCGCCCCCAGCCTTCAACAACAGTTTGCACACAGAATGCAGCAACAGTCCACAGCGGGTAGCAGCAGTAGTCGAGCTCAGTACGCAGCCGCGGCCTGTGCCCGCCAACCGCTTCCCACAGCAGCAGCCCATGCACAATTAGCCAGCAGCAGTTGGGCGCAACCAAAACCTGCAGCGGCCGCCCACAGTTGGCTGTAGCAGCCGGTGCATGGGTGCAGCCCCAGTTCGCACACCGACGCAACCAGCGTGCACGGGCAACTAGCATGCGGCAACTAGCAGTAAAGAACAGTAGTGTGCCTTAGCACCTCATCCCCCCCCTGTCACACCGTCCAGCGGGCACACTCCCTCTCCACGCTGCGCCCGGCTTCGCTACCCTGCCGCCCCACTTCCGAACGCACTGGGTTTGTAAACCCGTCCGGGCTCATCCCCGGCCCGCCTTCATCCCCTCTCGCGTTCGACTGCTCGGCTGCCCACCTTAGCGCCCGCCTTATCACTCCGCTTACGGTCGCTGAATGCTTCCCCAACCGGCGTGGCCAGGCGGGTAATCCCTTCTCCCTTCTGTCTCCGACTGCACCTGGGCGCAGATTACCGTCCAGGTTCACTCAT